CTGTAATTGATGCTCATCTTTATAGTCGTATGTTTTTTTGCTACCTCTGATTCTTGTTACTTGATTTCTCTCCCAAAACATGTAATTATGTAATGTTGTAATACAATAACATATTTATTCTATTACTGTTTTCACTAATATGGTTATGCAGCTCATGCCTTTTCCCTTGCATGTTTATGAAGAAGGATTGAGGTGCTGAGGGATCACATGAGGCTCTGAAAGTATTGCTTCAATGTATTCTTAGGAAAAGAGTGAATTTCATTTTGGGCATAAATTTATCTTTGTAGACTATTTAATGACTAAAGTTGTTCATTGTAGCTTGAATTTGTTACAATTAAAATCAAGTTCATTCACACAGATAAATTTAGTATATACTTATACAAGCTTTGCATTACAATGAAATATTCAATGAGATAACCCCAAACAAATATGGGGATAAATTTCATAACTTTTATTATCATTCACCTTCTTTCATTTAGGAAGACATGTTAGCTAAAGAAACAAAGCGATTGATAATCAAGAAGTTTAGCATGTAGCAGAGTTTATTATCAAGTATCAACTAACTCAGCATATTTTTAGGGGCGCGTAGCGCTTGTGATTAAAAAAAAGCCTATTGCGCATGCGGAGAGACTAGTATTGTATAAAAGGAGAGTTTAATTTTATTATGTTTAAGATGTCAGACATGTTTCAACATGCCACCTTATGTATGACCCATTTTCAGTGAGCCACATGCGAAGGTAACTCCACATCAATGACACTTGTTATTTAGATTTTGAGGATTTTAGTTAGGTGTCCCAACTTGGGGCTTCATGGTTTGCGATTCGTGGTCCCAATTTTAGTTCAATCATTCCCAGATGATTAGTGTGCTCTAGTACAATGTAAAATATAGAGATAGCTCATCGGTCCACTAATAATCAATACCCATATTGTCTTCAACTCAATTAGATGTGCAAACTAGTAAGTTTAGAGTTTTTACAAAAGACCTAGATTCAATTAGTCATCAAAGTATTCAATATATAAGAGATTTAATTTCATTAATTTTTTTGTGGGACATATTTCAACAGACCATTAGTAATGATTTGTTGGACTCATGCCTCTAAAATCTTAACATTAACCCGTTAATAATACGTGCAAACATACTGAAGAATTACTTTAATATGTCTGTTAAGTGTACATTTTATGGCATGTAGCTAGTGTAACAACGTAATATCTCTACCCATCTCAATCTCAAAATCAATATCTTGTTCCTCTGCCAATCACATTTTTCTCCGTCGATGAACATGACTTTAGAGTCGAGCCAAACGCAAAAAAAAAAAAAAAAAAAAAAAAAGGTATACGAACTTGTATGCATGCAATGCAAAGCCTCATTTTTTGGTCTCTCTCCCGGAAGACATCAAATCTTCCTAGCAAGGAAAAGAAAGATCTCTCTCTCTCTCTCTCTCTCTCTCAAGTTAAGAGGGTTAAATTTGGATCGTGGGTTCTCTGCATCTAGTCATGAGGTGCTTCATGAATATGGATAATATAGTGTGTTAAATATATATATATGGACATAGGATTCTCCTTATATGTACATATATACATATTTGTGTGTGTGTATATATATTGATCGATTGACCGCTCAATTGTTCTAGGACAATAAAGCATGCATGTCGCGGCTGCATGTTTGTCTGCATGGATCAAATTTGCGGATATGAATTAGTGGTACAAAAGAAAGAAAATATGCAAAAACACAAGTGTACCGAAATTTTTTTATGAAAATGTTTTCTTATATAAGATACTTACCATAATGAGAATTAAAATTTATAATGTTACATCCCACATCGCCCAGGGGAGTGGATCCTATAAGCCTTATATGTATATTCCCATCTCTACCTAGCACGAGGCCTTTTGGGAGCTCACTGGCTTCGGGTTCCATTGGAACTCTGAAGTTAAGTGAGTTCACGCAAGAGCAATCTCAGAAAGGGTGACCCACTGGAAAGTTGTGTGTGAGTTCCCAAAAACAAAACTGTGAGGGAATGGTAAGCCCAAAGCGGACAATATCGTGCTACGGTGGTAGAGCGGGCCCAGGAAGTGATCCGTCCCTGGCCAAGATGTGACAAATGGTATCAGAGTCAATCCCTAGCCGAAAGTGTGCTGACGAGGACGTCAGGCCCCTAAGAGGTGTGGATTGTTACATCCGGGCAGGGATGTGACAAATGGTATCAGAGTCAATCCCTAGCCGAAAGTGTGCCGACGAGGACGTCAGACCCCTAAGAGGTGTGGATTGTTACATCCCACATCGCCCAGGGGAGTGGATCCTATAAGCCTTATATGTATATTCCCATCTCTACCTAGTACGAGGCCTTTTGAGAGCTCACTGACTTTGGGTTCCATTGGAACTTTGAAGTTAAGTGAGTTCGCGCGAGAGCAAGACAATATCGTGCTACGGTGGTGGAGTGGGCCCGGGAAGTGATCTGCCCCAGGCCGGGATGTGACATTTAATATTTTCATAAAATTTAATTTATGAACACCATAAAATTACAAATAAAAAAGAGAGATATTAAATACATAGGTTGATGTTAAATACAGTCTAGGGACTAAAATCAATTTTTAATCTTGTATAAGATATTTTTCTAATTTTCATCTTATTTAAGAATTAAAATCTAATTTTCTATATAATAAATCCATCCTAATTCATATCTCTTGTGCTAATTATGCTCTTTTTATTATATCATAAATAATATTGCTTAATAAGAAACATCGTGGAGGCTTCATTTCCACACTAGACAAAGAAATAATTGATATATATATATATATATATATATGTATATATATATGTGTGTGTGTGTGTGTGTGTTTCTATATAAATACTCCTTTAGACAAGAACATTAAGGACGTCATTTGTTAGGATATATATATATATATATATATATGTGTGTGTGTGTGTGTGTGTGTGTGTGTGTGTTCCTTCCATACTGCATAGGACGACATTCATCTTAGTTTCCATGTACTTTCGACAAAAATGGATCCTAATCCATATCTCTTGTGCTAATTATGCTAGCTCTTTTTATTACTAATATTGCTTAATAAGAAACATCGTGGAGGCTTCATTTCCGCACTAGACAAGAATATTATGGACGTATTTGTTAGGATATAATCAGTGTATCATCTTAAAATTACTTCACACGTATCTTCCAGATCCTTAAATTCCTTGTGTGGTAAAACATAATGAGTTGGTTCAAAACTCACACACATACCCTCTTCACTCTTGGACAACAAATTAATATATATTATCCTATGAGAAATGCTATAATAGGACGTTCTTAAAAGTGTGACTCTCTATAGACTATGTCATCTCTCATGTTCTCAATACAAAATTGTATAATGTTGATACAAGAATTGTCGTTAAACTGTAAAATGACAAAAATTTTATAAAAAATCTCACTTTTAAAAATATTTCCTTAGCATTTCTCTTAGTTTATATATACGAACCATAAGTCAAACCCTAGATTTTTTTCAATTCTTTTTTTTTCTTTTCTCAAACAATCTAAACCCTAGATGGGTGATTGGTATTGCCTTTTCTGTTATTCAATGAGGTCCATTACTTAGCCGAAAAGAACAAGGCCCATTGATTCAAAGAATTTGAGGAGACATTTGTCTCCACTCTATGAGTAGGTATGTTTGGATTAATTAGGCATTCAAGTTCTTTCGAATTCCGAATTCTAGACCTAGCTCTCCCTTACTTGAAAGGTAATATTAGGGAGTTAAAATTTGTAGAAAAAATTTGCAAATTTAGTATACAAATTTTGAAACCCTTACTTGAATGCTTGAATGACATATATTTCTCGATAAAGAAATTCGATTGATGAGATTAAATAAGAAACTTATGAAATCAATGAGATCAATAATTGAGTGAATATATTTCTCTTAGAATGTATTTATTTGACTCGTTATCTTATGTAAATATGTAGTGGAAGTGGATGTTGTTTGGATTGAGGGTATAAACAGAGATATTAGGTTATTATTGGTGGTTAACTGATTGCGTTTTTACCAGCTTGGATGAGATCTTGGAGGCATCTTCGTATACTTGCTTGGAATACTGTAGTTTTGAATCTGATGCGTTCTGAGCAATGTGTCACTCGTGTATGCTTTATATATAATTAGCTGAGATCACAGTCAACAACTTGTAACCCAAAGGGCTCAATGCACCTATATACTTAAATGTTGCCTTTGTTTCGTTTACCCTTCTTATATTATTTAATTAGGCCCATTGAATATTCATTATCGAGAAGGCGATGGAGGTGGACTACCGCTGGCCGAGTTCAACGACATTCAAGTGTAAAAGAGAAGAATATATACATGTGATCACCTACTTTATGAACAAAGTGTTATTTTGTTAATTGCAACATTAAATAGATACCGTTACATATATAATTTGTACTATGGGATTGATAAGTACAAACTAGATATAATTCTTGTATTAAATGGATAGTCATTACATAATTGTTTGTGGGAACATTTATTGAAAGATATAATTCTTTTATTTAGTACATAAGTTGCAAGTACAAAAGCACACAGTAGAAGGGGAAAAACATCACATTATGTATCAAATTTCAAGATAAAAACCTTTTGAAACTAGTCACTTTCAATGTAATTACTAGTGCTATCTTATCTTTGATGTCATCAAAGAATTGGAAATAGGCATACCTCCACGATGTCTTTAAGATCAATGTGCCACAGACGCCTCAAAAACCTACGATAAAGCCAAGTACCACGCTAACATAGAACTACAACTTATCATTTCCTTCTTCATTCTTGTCCTTTGCATCTTTCACAGTAGAAGTGTCATCTTTAGGGCACTTAGTTGAGAGAGGAATGCCACATAGCCATGGATTGCCCATATAAATGGACGAAACGTTGAGCGTTTGAAGTTGGTTATCAGAAGGAATTCTTCCGAAGAAGATATTGTAAGATAAGTCCAAGTGGGCCAAAAAGGTTAAAGATAACAAGCTTTGAGGAATCTATCCCAAAAGGTGGTTGTATGAGAGATCAAGAGTTTTCAGCCAATGCAAGTTTCCGACCTTGGAGGGGATCTTTCCACTCAATTGATTCATGGACAAATTCAAGGTGCCCAAGAAAATGAGGTTGCTTATTTCTTCAGGGATTTCGCCTTGTAAATTATTTGATGAAAGATCAATGATCTTTACAAGATATAGAGTTGTGTTGTACACAAGTTCTTCTCCTTTAAGTGTCAGTTTGGCATGCTCAAATATATTATCAGAATGCTCAAAGCTATTATAAGCATATCCACCATAATTGTGGATGTAAATTTTCGCCTTCTCCTTTTTTGACAAAATTGCACCTACAAAACAATCAACACCTTTAGTCAAGGTCAAGAGCCTTACGTGCCCACGATGAATGTGGGGGGGGGGGGGGCTTTGGTCGAAGAATCTCTGATGCCAAAGTTAGAATTTAGAGAGAAAAGTGTTTGGAGAGTTTTTGGGAGTTTTACAAGAGTGTGTCACCTAGCTTTTTAGAGAAAATGGGGTCCAATTTATAAAGCATGGCCTACCTTCCTTGGGAGAGAGAGTGGCCAGCCTTTGGGTGTTTTTTAGGGTGTAATGGGTGAGTTATTTGGCAATTAATGGATTAATTAGGTAATAAATCCATTAATTGGCCAATTAACTCAATGTGTATGGAATGTTTTGAAGGTTATGGAGTCAATACCTTTTAGGGAATATAAGATGAGGATTGATGAAATAATTTTGAGTTTGTTACCTATTTTGGGCACTTTTGGCTTGATTGAAGAATGATTGTCCACTGCTTGCGCGTAGGAAATCCGATGTGCCTCGAGGGTAATTTTGTCATTTTAACCAAAAATCCACGTGTCACCTTATGATTATTTTTGGCTTCACAATAATCATCATTGACGAGAGAAGTTAAGGTATCCAAACACATTGGAATAGTACCTGAAATGCTATTGTTACTAAGGTCAAGGATGTGAAGGCCATCAAGATTGCACAATTGTTGGGAAATATGTCCACTAAAATAGTTAGATCGTAATCGTAGCACAGACAACATGGGTACATTTGACCTTCCAATCCATAGAGGCATTTTCCCAGATAACTTGTTGTCTCCAAGATAAATACTTCTCAAATTTGAACAATTTTGCAAAGCATCACGAATTTCACCGCCAAAATTGTTGTTGTTGAGCTTTAATATTTCCAGGGAACTTAGTACCCCCAATGAAGTGGGAATCTTACCGGACATATTTTTTTGATCAACATCTAAAAACACCATATTGCTCTCCATATTCCATGCATGAGGGAGTTCTCCAGAAAACTGATTACTCCTTAGAGACAGGATTTGCAACTTATGGATGTTACAAATAGAGGGAGGAATAGTGCCATTCAAATGATTCTCATCAAGTAACTATTCTTGCAATTTGGGCATCATTCGGTCAATATTTGAGTGGATTGGACCGGAAAAGAAATTGCTTTCTAGAAAAAGGGAATCGACATTAGGGAAACACCAAAGTGGGAGTGGGCCTTCCAACTGATTATGACTCAAATCAATAAACGTTAAATTTGGAAATTTCAAATGGCATGGAAAGTTTCCACGAAATCGGTTGTAAGACAAGTCTAGGTGGGTGAGTTGGGAAGATATTTTCAACAACCATTCCTCTGGTATAAAATCCGAGATTCCATTACCACGAGGGAAAACATCAGATATTTCAGTTTGAGTTTGAAGCCATACCCAAAAACCAGGTTTTATCCCACAATTTATGATTTGAATTGTGTGGAGCTTGAAAGGAGGAACCGACTGATAAGCCACATTGAAAATGAGGGACATGGATCGGTTTATACTTCCTACTCCAAAATCTTGTAATTTAGTGAGATTTATGAAATGGGCTTCCGTTAGAATGCCTTCCCATGAATTACCAAATAGAAATAGGGAAACTAGCTCATAGAGTTGTCCAATACTTTCTGGAATTGTGCCGTTCATCTTATTATAACTGAGGTCTAGTGTTCTCAAGTACGATAAGTTTCCGATGGAATCTGGAATTGTGCCCCACAAATTGTTTTCTTTAAGGTTGAGATTCTGCAAACTTTTAAACATTCCTAAAAAGACCGGCAATTGGCTTTCAAGCTTGCAATTAGACAAATCTAGTGACTCTAATGTATTACTTGAACAATTTGAGAAACTCCTCCAAAACTCTCTAATTCCCCCCATCAAATTTGTTCCCTGAAAGACCTGAGACCTTGAGCTTGCATAAATTTCCACTCACTTTAGGAATTTGACCTTGTAAGCCTGTATAAGATAAATCAAGGTTTTGCAGAGATTTGAAGTTTGAAAATCCACTTCGAAAATGATCGCTGAAATCATTCCAGGATAGATCAAGTGTTGTGAGGCTGGTAAGATTAAAAACCCAACGGGGAAATGAAGAACCTTTAATACCATTATTCGACATATCAAGGATCAAAAGTGATGTCAAGTTAATCCTTTACAGTGAGAGTGGATTGCTTTCAATTTGGCAAGAAGATAAATGTAACTCTAAGGAAGCATGTTAATATCATATGCCCAACTGACTCCTGTGCTGCTAAGATCAACGCCAATGAGAAAGCCAATTCAAATTTTTTGGAAGATAAGTCTTGATTTGACTCGAGATCAAGAAAATTTAGGCTTGACAGGTTACCAAGACAGGGGGGAATCTCTCCTCTAAAATACGCAAAGGAGAGAGTGACATATTGCAAACTTTTAAGCTCCCCAATGAACTTAGGAATTTGATTGCTATCAAACCAATTCTGGCTCAAGTCCAGGTAATTTAAATGTTTCAAGCTCAACAGAGAAGCATTTATCTTGCCTCGCAAAGAATCATTTATCCACCCTTCATCATTCCGGTGGTCCATCTTCACGACATGACCAGCGCTGTTGTTGCATGAAATGCCTTCCCATTGACTACAATCATGACCCCTCCAAGACGAAAGCCTGCCAGAATGATCAACAAGATGTTGAAGACGAGAAGTTCTTGTCTTTCTTCTTCAGTGTATGAATTTCTTTTCGCACTGCTTGAAATTTCATCACCAGCCAAACAGGAAGAGTTTAGTAGTACTGTGCATGCAGAAAGAGACCAAAAGCAAAAGAAGCAAATAGTGAGCAATACTGAGGTGACAATAGCTATCCATTATTGCTAGAGAGGGCAAAATACTTATGGGTTTGGGTAACTGCCGTTACGTGTCTATTTAAAATTCACGATTACGGTTATGGGTGTTTAGACAAACAAACGGTTATGGGTATAACCGTTTAATCATGAAATTTAAATGGATGGTTATTGGTATTACTCACGGTTATAACGGGTATCCATCAATTATGGGTATTACATGCGGTTATAATGGGAATCCATTTAACCATTTAATTTAATATATGTAAAATTAAAAATTAAAAAAAAAAAATTAAAAACCCTAAATTTTCAATCTCTCAACCAAACTCAGAGTCTCAAATGCCATGTCCTGGCTCATCTCTCCCTCCATTTAATTTAATAAAGGATGAATACTTTTGCGTGTGAACACTCATGCGATTCAATATTTTTAAATTACAACATAAAGTTTGACTAATAACAAAATCATAGCAAGAAGATTATGTACTCATGACGTGACCACATCGTGTAAGCAGATCCCATTTTGATATCAGTATACATATTTCCAATGCAGTTGCTCCATAAAGTCACGTAACTTAAGGGACACATTACACCTAAGCACAAAGCCACATAATTAATTAACCTCTTCTGAAAACATTAGTGTTCGAAAGTATTTAATTTGGAATATTTTGAAGTTTTGAATTATCTAGTATTCAAGATAATAACTACTTTTTGTTTTTAGAAAATTTACTTTGTAATCATATGGATTATAATTAATTACTTGCTTGGGTGTATCAAAAAAGTATCGTTCATAAACTATTATTTCAATTATTGGAATTGTATGAGGACTTAAATAATTAAAATAAGGAAATGCATACTAAAATGTACTTATGACGGTGTTTAATTGTTAGAAAACGAAAATTATGACAAATTGTTATTTTGTAATTTTCAAGTTGTTGAAAAAACACATGTAGACGGGTGAAAAAAGGATAAATGGGTAAAAAAAGGATAAACGGGTTCAAAAACGGTTAAATGGGTAAATGGTTATGGTTAAATGGGTACACGGTTATGGATATGGTTAACCGTTTATAAACGGTTATGAGTATGAGTATAACAGTTTATGTAATTACCCAACGGGTAAATGGTTATGTGAGTATAAACATAAACAGTTATACGTAAATAATCACGGTTACCTGCCGGCCATAACCATTGCCCATCTCTAATTATTTCACAAAATATTGTTTGCTTTGCTGGGAGATGCTTGCTACTAAGTTAGCGCTATACCGGGATTTATAGGAACATATTATAGATGTAGGTCAAAGAGCTGAAAACGAAAGTCGTCTGACGGAGAAAGAAAAAAGGGTAATTGAAATGAGTGGCTAGTGTTCACAACCCCTTCCACAAGTTTGCAAGTTTTTTGTTGACATAGCAGGTACCTGGTTGTGATGGGTTGTTGAAATCCATATGCTGCGGAGACTTTGACTTAAGGGTCTTCATATTCCATCATAATTCATAACTTATCATCTTATTTACTGTTCTTTTTTTGTGGTAAATTATAAAAACGGATTTAGATATGTTCTTATATTTTGTTCGAATGATAACGGATAAGATTAGTCAAGTACACCACACATGCTGGTAGTCTCTATATAGGTATGACTGTTGAGTTGTAATTTACAAATTTTCTAAACAGCGAAATAGTTATTAACAATCTAAAATAGTGAGCAGCACTGTGGTGATAGTGGCTGTCCATTATAACACAGAATTTTCTTTAGAGAATGCTGTGGACCATATCAAGTTGTGAAACCCCTACCGACATGTTGTGTATTATTTATGGTGGATATAATTCAAATTTAACCGAATTAACAATTGGCAAATAGCAAGTGCTAAAGCAAAAGTAATTTATCTTTTTCTTTAACCAGCTTTCGAAAATAAAAAGCAAAAGCAAAAGTGAATACGCGTAAGGAGGACCTGGTCATTCCAGAAAATTTCAGCCATCTCGATTGATTACACTTTTACACTGGTGACAAAAGCTGAAATGTCATTTTCCCTCGCATGCTTCAACCTATGCTTGTATCTACCGTTGCGTTATTTGCAAGATGCTTCTTTTTGGGATTTATACTATATCTATGTACAGAATTCACCAATGTTTAAACGATTAAAAATGTTCAAATTCAGTTATTTGATACAATATAGAATTTTCGGCAATTGCATTGGGTTTTAAAGATTATAAGAGTTTCAGTGAAATAGTTGTCTTCTAATAAGAATTTTTCCATGCCAAGTGCATTTTTATGAGCATTACCACCACATGAATTGTTGTCAATAAATGTGATCAAATTTGTCTACTACTTAAATCTCAAAACTTAAATTAATCCAACCACAATTAATGTAGTGGTAATGCTCATGACCACTGAAGTATTGTGAGCAAAATGCATTGTTCCATGCAACTAGTAACATTATAGAAAGCAAACCAAAGACTCTTCGGCTATACTAGAACATATCCACATGGTATACATATAGACTCACATGTTATAATATGAGTAAACCACCAATTTATACTTTAGTTCATAATCGATCCACGTACTATAATATGAGAAGATCAGTATACCACATATATGTGTTCCTGTACACCACAATAATCCCTCATTTCTTATTTCCTTGAAAGACCAAGACAAAGTGAAGCCCCCCCAAAAAAAAAAGAAACGCGTTTGTCTTCAATAGTCCCGGACTAATGGTAAGCCAAATTTTTATTCATTGGATTGGCAGGTTGAGAAAAAAATAGTTTTTCTTCAATTCAATCCTGACCGTTCATTGCTCGTACTACTAAGTAATGCAAACTATTGAACAAAAAATACACTCCGTTTGTCCCACATCACTCACTAAGCTTTGCATTATTACATAAATATCATGGCCTTTGCAAGCCAGAACAAATTAAAACAAAGAATAGGAAGAAATTCAAAGAAAATGAAAAGAACCCCACATTAGACTGGGAAGTAGTCTAGAAGAGACGTTACACAGTGTTTCGATACATGGACAAATGAGAAGTAAAATGCAATACCAGATGCTTTTAGTTACAGACCTGTTTAAAATTTAAGAAGGTATTTCCTGCCTAAATTAGCTAAATGCTTTTACCAAACACTAATTAATATTTGCTTATGAAGACCACTTCAATAAGCTT